TCAAGAATATGTCTCTTCATAATGATCGCTTGATGACTGGGTCTTAGATTGGGTCTCAGCTGTTCAGAACATATATTGCAAAGATTGCTGAGAYGCATCCATGTAAGATGACCTAGTTTGTGATACTATGAAATTACAAAGTTGAACTTGGATGGAAAACAAAACCTCTTCTTAAACTGGGTGCTAATTCTGGAGCCCTATAAAAAAAAATTACACATTTAAGATTCCTTAGCTGCTTTCCTAGCTGTCTTGCTAAACATTAGCAATCACTTTTTGAAAGTCTATGTCTCTCTGGTGGTTGCCATAATAACCCTAAGGGCAAAGACTCCAGGGTAAGATTCCCWGATACAAGTCTGCAACACACTCTTSATAGAATTTGAGAAGTCATTATACCTTTTTTGCCTAGTTTCCTCACTTGTATTGAGCTGGGTGGAAAAGACTACTTGAATGGATTCCTGTCAGTATTAAAAGAGTTAATTCATAGGAATTGGTGCCGAGTTGCTGTCAATGTGTCTTTAGTACCCCCTCTGCTTTATAGCTGTTTGCTTGCCTTGTCACTTGGCTTCACCTTTCCCAGAAGCCCAACCAGCATTTKACCTGTGATGGCCTTTGGCAACTTCTTGGTTCATAATAGCTTCTAGGTCTCTCATTCTTGRTATTGAGAAAGCTACATCTTATTCATAAATCAGGAGTCAGTGTGATGCAATTTTTGATCAGCCATATTTTGCCTCARGGAGGCCAAATCTTAGGATTCCCCAAAGTAATAGGTGGTGCTTCTTTACAGGAGGAAAGCGTTATTAGTTCAATACAGTTCTATTTGGTTTCTCCCTATAATTATTTCCTGCTTTTTTGGAAAAAAAAAATCCTTATCTTAAGATAAGTTTACTTACTGGTTTTTTTTTTTTTATCTTGGATCCTGATTCCCTCATGCAAAATCTGACTTTGATTACAGGCTTCCTCCTTAGTCTTCATCTCTATCCCTTTTCCTGGGAAACTGGTGGAAGTCTTGACAACTTATTTTGCTCTGGTCAACATCCTGAGTGTAAAAATACTTTTTCTTCTATGTGCTTAGACCCTCCTTCAGTAAAARAAGTCCTAAGAAGTTACATGATACATGATATCTATGAAGACTTACAGCTCTAATTGAGCTCTTCTGTGAGGTTCTTGTTAATCCTCTAGGATTTCAAGCTCATTAAGTAAAAAACAAATACGTTACTCTACACACCAGATCAGATTCTTCTGAGTTTCCCATCTGAATCATGTGCTCCTAATTACTTAGACTTGAATCTTTGATCTCTATCTCTTCTTTGCATAACTCATCRGATTTGTTGTCCAAAACTGCAACAATGTTTTTTCGAATTTTCAACACAATTTCATTCCTTAAAAAATTCATTTATATGACAGTCAATGCTTTCCCAGTGCAGTCATGCATGCTCTTCCTAATATGCACTATAAAGCCTGTGCTTCTATGACACAAGATGAATCAGCTTCTCTCTCCACCTGAATACCCTAATGCAGGTCTTGACATGGTAGATTGAGCAAGGAGTGGACAAATGCCTGTAAAACATGTTATATGATGCTTGGCACATAGTRAGTATTCAACACATGTGAAAAAAATTCCAGATGRTGCCAAACAACTAATACTGTAGTGTGTGAACTTGTGCCCCACTCYTCCCAAGCCAGGTGTTCCTATTGATGACCTGTATCCTATCTCATGTATTTCCCATTCCTCTCTTCATTATGCTCCCACCAGTAACCCATGCAAGCCCTCCACATGTCTCAGCTCCACTGGTATTTATGCCTCCAATTTCTTCCCTCTTTTCTTCATACAACTGCCCCCAAAGAACAGACATCATCATGGCGTTCTACTGCCTACAGGCTACTTTTGCTTTGGAGGATAAACTGGAAACAAAATCACATTCAAACCCCCATCTCCTTGTACCCCATACATAGGTACCTGTGGTACAACTGGTTACAGGCACATTCACACAGTTCCTGGTGGTAAGGGGTAGGCGGTAGTCCAGGTAGCTTAACTGGACCACAATACGTGGTTGGCACCTCCATACATACTCTCCATTTTGCTTATGTTGGATCCTACATCTGCAATGTTCTGGCTCACTTATTGTTTATTTCTTCCTTTGAAAAATATGACTTTTTGAAGATCTAGTTCAATCAAATACATCTCCTGTAAAAAGAATTTGTATGTCTAGAGAAGATTCATTGATATAGTTTTCACTTACAARCTTATATGTATAAGTGTGTGTGCGTGTCTTTCCTCATATAGGAAGCTCACTGAGGTTGAAAAAAATAAAGATGCATATCCTTACAATACTATCTGGCAATATTTTTTTTCCCACCAATTTTTTTCAAGTATTGGAGATTGAACCTTAGGGCGTTTTACCACTGGGCCAGGTATCCCCAGTTCTTTTTATTTTTTGTTTTGAAACAGGGTCTTGCTAAATTGCTGAAGGTCTCCCTAAGTTGCTGAGCCTGCCTGTGAACTTGAAAGTGTACTACCTCAGCCTCCCTAGGGGTTCACAGGTGTGCACCATTGCTCCTGGCCTGTCAATACATTTTGATGAAATAAAATTGGATTGACCAATTCACAATGAAAAAAAAAAAAAACCTATTGAAGATGAAAAACTAGGATTTTTGGTGGTTCCTACCTTACTTTCCCTTSGCATTAATGTTCCATTGTAGACATAATGCTTATAAGATTCTGCATTGAATTCTTTCTCTAATGCAGAGATACTGAGTTGAAGTTTTGCAACTTTGTACAAGAAAGCAAAGTCCTGAGGTTCTGGAACACTTTCCTTCTGGTGCATAGGGTGTTTGGCAGACAGCAGAAATACTTCCCCAGCATTGTGGTTTGGGTCAGCTGAAAGAGTCCTACCACCAATAATTGCACAATCCTGCTTGTAACCAGCTGCACCACAGTAAAATATAACCACCAAGYGCTCTTGTCTGTCTTCTTCACTGTATGCCAGCACATAGAGGAGTGGACACTCCACAGATTTGTTGGATGAATGAGTGAGTGAATGTATTAGGTACCGGACCAAGATTAGATCTCAACATTGCCTTTTTTTCCCCTCATTGGCCAATATGAAAATACTTTTGCAACTGTTCCTTCATATTCTAACGCTATAGTGATTATTTTATTTATTTATTTTTTTAACTACAGAAGCACTTGTGAGAAAAAAAAAAAAAACAACTTAAGAATGAAATAGAAACCTTCCCAGCATTAGCTGAACAGGACTGTCTTTCATATGGTAAAAGAACAGGAAGATTGGGCCCATATCTTGTGTGTCATCTTTTGGAACACAGCATGGGGGATTTAAGAAATGATTCTTGACTTTGCCAAAGCTATATTAATTATTATTTTTTAAAATATTTTTTTTTAGTTGTGGATGGACAAAATACCTTTATTTATTTTTATGTGATGCTGAGGAGTGAACCCAGTGCCTCACACATGATAGGAGAGCGCTCTACCCCTGAGCTACAACCCCAGCCTCGCCATTAATTAATTTTGTGCTGTCCTCAACTCAAGAATTGTCTTGTGAAGCCAGAAATCAGGCAAGGGGCAAACAGATTTAAGAGGTTCCTCTGAGTT